GAGTTATGTACAGACCAGCGGGCAGGGAGTAGCCGCCGGCCAGTGGTGGGCCCTCTGCAAGTCAGGGGGAGTGGCTCGGATGGAAGTTTACAGGCGGGTCCAGCTGCTCCTGCGCCGCCGACTGCACTCAGCGCCGCTACCTCAAGGACTGCTGTGTCGACTGGCTGCACGCGTGCAAGGCAGACCGTTTATAACGCATATGTCAGCACTGGGAGTCTTCACGGATCCGCATATTTCTTGTTGGAATTCAAAAAACTCCCAGCGCCCTGCAGAAAAAAAAGAAAGAAAGAAAGAAAACAGACACGCCAAACGAGGGATGGGACGAGGACAGGGTCCCCACCTGCACGAGCAGGATTTTGGAAGAACGATCTGAGGGGGACAGGTGGGGCTCTCCTGCTCCTGACAAGGGACACGACAGCTCGCAGCGCGGTGCGCGGTGGACTCCCACATCCACTGGCGGTCTCATCTCAGTCTAGCGACCTGCCTCCAGCTTGTCGCTGGCAGTCTCTCCTACCACAGGCACACTGACACAGGGGTGGCAGGGGCGGCGGCACGAGTCTCCCACATACTATGCGGGCCTCACTAGAGGTGCGGCCTGTGCGTGTCCTCGCCCTTGAGGGGGGAGGGGAAGGGGCTGTGTGTCTGTGCATGTGTGTGTGCATGTGTGTGTGTGTGTGTGTGTGTGTGTGTGTGTGTGTGTGTGTGTGTGTGTGTGTGTGTGTGTGTGTGTGTGTGTGAAAAGAAAGAAAGGACTGCTTGAAGAATTCTTTTTTCTCGCTGAGTTAGTGCTAGCACGCGCCGCCAGTCCTTTTGCCGCACGCTACACCCGGCCACAGGGCCAATATGTCCGCCCGGGGCTTCCTGATCCCCACCTTGCGCGCCCTCTTGATCGCGTTCGCGCTCTTCGAGGCCGTCAACATCCGGCTGTACGCGGTCCGCACCTACGGCCGCGTCATCCACGAATTTGACCCGTGGTTCAACTTCCGCGCCGCCGAGTACATGGTCGCGCACGGCTGGGGCGCCTTTCAGGCGTGGTACGACCACGAGGTGTGGTACCCGCTCGGGCGGCACGTCGGCTCGACGACGTACCCCGGCCTGCAGCTCACCGCCTGGGGCGTCCACAGCGCGCTCGCGGCGGTTGGCCGGCCCGCCTCGCTCAACGATGTGTGCGTCTTTTTGCCCGCCGGCTTTGGCGCGCTCGCGGCGGGCTTCACGGGGCTGCTGGCGTGGGAGGTGACGCGGAAGCCGAACGCGGCGGCGCTCGCCACGGCCATCATGGCCATCCACCCCGGCCACCTCATGCGCTCCATCGCCGGAGGCTTCGACAACGAGTCGATTGCGGTCGCGGCGATGGTCAG